AGGTAACTTAGACGGCTATTTATTGACCTTAACTAGTAATAAACTTGCAAGAATGAAAGAATTTAGAATTCTTTCTTCATTTTAATATGCACGTACACGGCCATTATATTGAACTGCTTTAAAGCCTTTAATATACCGAAGCCAATTTAATAATCAAATTAATATCATCGCCTCATTCGCTGAATTTTCTTTCAACAGGCCGACAACTAGATCCACCCAGCTATGAATGATGTTTCGATCCTCCAGTAGGATTGCTACATTTCTTTGAACAAATCACTGTGTTGCGACAGGCCTGAAGTAATTATATAGTCAAATAGTGTTTGAAGAACAGAAACTACAGCTTTAGGTCCAATAACGAGAAAAAACATCAGAGGAAAGCTCAGGCGACAAAACTTCGTATTTCTTTTTCTTGGCAGATTTTTTGTTTGTTCTCCTGTCATGTTGTACACTCATCGTTGCAGTAGCGATTGTTGGTAATTTAATGGTTTGTTACGTGACAATGGTGGACAGAAATCTTCGAAACAATCCCATGATGTTTCTTCTTCTCTCATTGGTGATGTACAAGATCTTTACCATAATATTCGTTACTTTAGTACCCTCCTCTGTTTGGACCCTTCTTCCTGTTAGTATTGAGTGCCTCAAGAACCTCAGCGATCCTCTGAACCACCTTCGTCGTTCTCCTTTCTTGACAAGTAAGCGAGCACTCATTGTCATAATCTTTATTTGGCTTTTTAACGTTCTCTTTGCTGCAATTCCCTCGATGGTCTGGAGAGATGCCCCTGATGAATCCCTTATATTTAAAGAAGTTTGCTGGTTTCTTCAGTCCCGAGCCTACGCTCTAATTCCAGTGATCCTCAACTTTATTCTTCCGTTAATTATCAGCAGTGTTATTTATTTCAAGATTTATCTCACTGCACATCAGCGGAAAAGAACTGAGTTAGTCGGCGATAGTCTTTGCTTCATAGAAGATAATAAGACTTATTTAGAAAACATGAAAGAGAGTAAAAGTATCGTCATGTTTATTGCCGTTTCCTTTTTTTGCTGGCTTCCCTATTCGACCTGTGTTATTTTCAACAGTCTGTGTAACTCATGCTGGGCATGGATTCCAGAAGATGAAGCTTTTTACTTTCTACTTATCTGTGGCTATCTTAACTCAGCTCTTAATCCCATTCTTTTTGCAATCTGGAACAGAAGCTTTAACAGAAGCTTTCTTTGTGAGCGATTTTGGCGGTCCTTGTATGGAAAGAAAGATTTTCTTCTTCAAAATGGTTACCCCCAAGGGATAATCAACTTTCACTCAATGATGTGCTAGACAGAAACCAAAACAAGTAGGACGGCCCTGTTGACATATGGTTCCTAAGAAGGATGTTTATATTATCCTGTTACCTTACTTTCTTGGGTTTTCAAAGCAACCAAATTTCTAAACGCCTTAAATCCTGTATTTATCAGTTTTACTTTGTCACTGTGTTAATTTAAAGATAATTTTCTCTAAACACTTCCCGTATTAAATCTTTCTATATTAGAGGACCGCTTTTATCGCCCTCAAAGAACCAAAGTCATTCATAAAGCTAGTTGCTGGGATTGCAATGATTTTTATATTAGAAAAACTAAGCGACGACTCCATGATAGGAAGAATGAACAATTCAAGGCCCTAACTAAAAATGACCACTTGTCAGCAAATTGAAATCAAGAAACGATCGATTCTTCAGAGTTTCTACTTTCATGAGGTATTTCAGCACCTAAGAACCTTTATTTACAAAAGTTTCTGGTACCAAAGAGTTCTTCGTTTTGCGATAGAAGACGCTTGAATTTCCAGTTGCGTGACGCGGCATTTAGATGGCGGCCGGGAACTCGGCTCTTATGTTGTTTTAAAATGTTACTGACATCAGTTCCTCAGGGACTTCCATTCATCAGAGTGTTTTGGTCATGTCGTGTTTTGGAAAAAGCGTAAGTGTTTGGGTTCAAAACGCTCTTATGGTAATCGGCAAATGCAACTTAGTATAACTTACTTTTCTTGAAACTTCTCGAAAGGAGGAAAGGAGAAAAGGAAAAAGCGAGGAGAAAAAAGGGAGGAGAAGAGAAAAAAGCAATGGTTGCACTCTTAGTTTATATAATGGCTACTTTGGAGTGTTTGGCCGCAAAAAAATGCTTGACGGAAGAGGTCCATTTGGTGGAAACGTTTTAAAAAAATCCAGCCAGATGTACGTCAGCAACGGCTTTTCGTATCGTATGTGCGAAAATGGTGGCTAGGGTTCCACATTACGACGAAAAACTTTTCAAACTACAAGATAATAAAGCCAGAAAAACACAGAAAAAGATTCGGAGGGAAGACATTTGTAATTAAGAGCTTATCTTTGGGAGAGAAACATCCGAAATCCAGCAACAGCAGAAGCATTTGCCACTGTTTTGCCAACATTCTACGTCGGAGTGGGAAATACCTCACAATGGTGGCTAGAATTGAACATTACATGACAAAAGCTTTAATCTCAACTTATGAGATGGAAATGACAGCTATTAAAAATACAGAAAAGCTTCGAAGGTAAGCCACTTGTTATATAGACTGAGCTTATCTTACAGACACAAAGTTAACATCCAAAATGCAGCAACAGCGGAGGAATTTGCCACTGTTTCGCGACAAATGTATGCCGAAGTGAGAACCAGTTTCAATAAATTTTTTTGTTTTCAGATCCGTGGAAATATTTTGAATAAATAAAACAACAGTTATTGGATGCGCTGTCGTAAGATATGAAGAATTATGCAGATCTCGGAGTGTGTTATCATATCCACCTCAGCCTTCGGCATAGGTGCATAACACCCTCCTCGATCTGCATGATTTTCATATCATACGAGAGCCTGATTCAATAATTGAAAATAACAGGTGCATGTGTAAATCCATTCCCTAGATCATTCTCTTCGAGTACAAGTCAATACTCGTAACGTAACTTGCAAACAGACTGTTTGAACAATACAAGAATGAAATGTTATCAACGCCCTTCCTAGTCAATAAACTTAAAAAAGAAAATTTGTGGAATATATAGTCGTTGTCATATCACAGGGCAACCACCCTAGGTGTTCGTGGTTAATAATTCTTCACATTAGACGAACAATAAAGCTCCGAATATTACATTAAAATGCATCTCGTTCTAAATATTTCAATAAAGTTAAATAAAATGTTAATCGCGTTCCTAGGCCGTATGAAGCATCTTTCTACTAAGTTACCGGCCTTTCTTCTCTAACCGGCCTTCAGCAAAACGTAACTTTGTAGAAAGACGCTTCATACGGCCTAGGAACGAGAAAAAACACCCCACACGAGTCGATAAACTTTTTATTACCTTTATTGAAATATTTAGAACGAGATGCGTATAGGACATATAGAGATGTAATTTTCAAAGCTTTATTTATAACCCTCATAGGTTTCAACATATTTCTTTTGGTCGTCTTATGTGAACAATCTTGTTTAACTACGAAATCCTAGCGTGATCTGCCTGTGGTCCTATAGATTTTTTAGCCTATATTGATGCTTGAATTTGAGTAATTTGGAGTCACTACGTAAAAGTTGCATTCCTTTAACAATTTTCAAGACTCAAATACAAAAATAAAGGTAGTGCCACTTGTGAAATTTTGCTTGAACCGAGCCAAAAAGCAAGGCTAACCCCGCCATGCTATATAACGTGCCGTCGATAATAAATTGAGCTGGACTAGCAGTAATGGTTTACGAACCTAGATCACCTCCTCAATGCCTATTGCTCAATGAGAAACAGTTCTATAATGTCGAGTAGACTGATATTTTTAAACACTGGTTCTCAAATAAATGCCAGGGAATGAAACGTAGTTCAACCTTGACCTTGTGGAACTGACGCTTGTTTGTGCCTAGCATTTATTCGGGGACCATTGTTTAACTAAGAAAATAAGGGTACATTAGGCCCGGGGTACAAGGACCCAAGAAATGATACCATGATTGCAAATGTTTTTCATTTAATTGACACACCATATTAGTTACAAGTATATCACTTAGCCACATGCCCCACAAAAAGCAGCCGACTCTCAGTTGGTGACATGGCAAATTCTTAATGAATAACACCAACAAATCTAATTAGGTTTAAAAGGCCTGACAAAATACATCGGGGTGAAGAAAGAGGAACTGCCCTATGACACTGGCTAGCTTAGCGCGAAAGTTCTGTTCACGCCCTGATCTCAAGTTCAACTTAATATACAGGCAACACATGCTAAAAGATTAAAACTTAACTAATGCGAAAAAAAGGTACACAACACGCAATCCAATCACTCCGTGTAACTTAGCTTATAATAAAAAACCTAGCATAGGCTAAAAGACATGTAAACGAACAAACTAAAGCAACTTTATTTATCATATAAGTACTGAGATTTGCTCACATCAAACCCGCCAATTGAAAATCGTAAATTAGATGCCATACCATTACAATATCGTATGACCAATCAGAAGCCTAATTTCTCACCAAATTTTATTTGAATAGTTCACAGTTGCTTGTCGCCATAAATTGTAGAAGATGGCTTCCA